AAGAAATGATGAAACCATTTGTCACATCTTTATATCAGGTGATGCTCTGCAAACATTTCTGCATGTACAAAGATAATTGTTATTTTGATTTTGTCCAGATGATGCATGTATGTGTTTGTGTGTCAAAGCATCTAATCAAACTCTTAGCTTCTCATTACCGACTGGTCCTGAGTCATCTCTGAGAATTCATCACTTTTTGGCTTTGATTGAATGTAATACGTCGGTTTCTCCTTTGATAGTTTGCGGCTTCTATTACTTATTACTACTTATTACTACTTATTACTGTAATGTATGTCTTGTATGTCTCGCGGCATCACAAATGTATACGTATCAAACAATAATATATAGTAATAATATAACAATAATATATAATAATAATATAACAATAATATAACAATAATAACTTTTTTGTTATAATACAATAACCGGAATTTGCCGCGTATTTTATTTTTATTCATTTTTATATGTATAGGTATTAAATTGGTATTATTGGTTTTTCTTTTGCTGGTTAATTTGGTCACGATTTAAAACGCGAAATACGAAACTTTGTTTTTTTTGTTTCGTTCGTTTTTGGCTTTGTAGGCTGAGAAAGAAAAAATTTAAAATAAAAAAAAAATAAAATAAAATACAAAAAAAATAGAATAAAAAATAAAATAAAAATAAAATAAATAAATAAATTTAATCCTGTAATCATAATGATAAACATTAAAAATTAAAATCATTTAATCAATCAATATTCGATAATTATAACTCGATATTATACTTGATACTGTACTATAAAAAATAACAATAGTAGATCTTGAAAAAAAAGAAAATTATCAATGGCTTATAATGTTTCGAGGCGTGATTTGTCTTGCTTACTCGCATCCCTGCAGTCCACTTGTTATGACACAAGAAATTCTTCTGGGGTTTGTACATGATTCATCCCGTAAAGACTGATGCTGTACTCAAGTTAACCGCTTAAGTTGTTCCGTAATGTCACGCAATAAATCCAAATTTCGGATATTATTTATTCTGGCTAGAAGATTTTTATTAAGATTTTTAATACTACATTAAAAAAATTCTGTCGCGCCAATGTTTTTCTTTTAAAAAAATTACGGTTTCTGTTGTGTGGTCATGCACCAAATTTGTCACGGGATGCGTCACGAGGCTCGATCACGGGTACACAATAATTCAATATGTCATTCTAATAATCCAATAATAAACAATTCTAAAACGCTTAGATA